GCTTTCATCTGATAGGGGACGAGTAATATTCTCGAATAACTACTACTAAGCGCATTTCATTGCACGCGGCACCACGCACACCTGCATGCCGATGCTGCAAATTATGTCATATAAATATGTAAGCTAAGATATAGGAGTCAGTTGTTACTAAACCAAAGTTGCTGAAATAAAATTTTTAAAAATCTCTTTTTCGAAAGCAGAGTTTTAACTGACTGACAGTTTTTGCGCGCCAAATTCAAATGTTTGTACTTTTCAAGTCGCTTTGCAAATACAGGAAAATTACTGACTGCAAATTGTATTATTTAGGCACCGAAGTCTGTTATTAGACTGTGTTTTTAATTATTTGAAAATTATCTAGTTTGCGATTTTCTGGAATTCGATCATAAAAACTTATGGAGATTTTATATTATTCGATTACTGACACTTTTTCTTGGTGGTGTTTCTTCCGAAAATACTATTATCGGCCACTTTTTCAGCCTCGAAAGTTCACAATGCTGCGATAAGAAAGCCTATACTGCCATTTCGTTTCGCTCTGCTTACACAAACTGCGGTTATTTTTGTTTACTTTGCGTCAGTTTAAACGTAACAATTTTTTTTATTAACGTCGAAACTCAATAATTATTAAATATTTTAATGGAATTTACGATGATAATATCTGTCGGCCAGATTTCGACTAACAAAAAGTTTGATTTTGATTTTTTTTTAATTATTTTAAAAAAATCGGGCATTTTCGATTAAAAACCTTTAGCGCTTGATAATTCGACACATCTCTGAACAGCTGATGCGTTCCAGATTTTTCAGTTTTTATTGAATTAATGCAGATTTATGAATAAGCTTTCAGCATACTTTTAAGAGAGTCTTGGAATTAAAAACATGTTGGGATTGCAGTGGCATGTCAGCTGCACCTATCTGTGCACTTAAAGCAAACACGCTTCGTTCTAGAATGAGGCCTAAATTGTGTTCCAAGACAGCTTTTGTCATTTCATTCATTTCGACGTGATTATCACGGCCATTTGTCACAGTCAAATGACGTCTAAAAGCGACGTGAACGGACGTCACAAAGCGGCCAAAATATCACTTTTGTTACTTATAATATGTTTAGTGATCGGATAGTCCTGTTATAAGATGCGGATTTTAAGGTTTGAAATATGGAAATGTACGTGAAAAACCCCAAGTTTGACGCATCCTACGTACGTGATCTACACCGCAATACGACCTCTAAAGCGACGTACGCGGAACTCACAAACCGTTCAAAATATCTTATATTGTCTTAAAAAGGGTGAGGATCGAAAAAAACGTTATATTTTTGAAATCTGCATCCTAAGGTCTTCAAATTATATCAAATACTACAGATTTTCCAATAATTCTTAATCAAAGAGAAATTAAACCTCATTCACGATCAAGAATTGACAAAAAAAATGTTTTTTTTGACGGGGGAAATGATCAAATTGAGTGATGTAATGTGGATTTCGCGGTCAATAACTGACGGTTTTCACTCGTCAAATGAAAATGTTTGCACTTTTTCAGATGTTTTCCGAAACAATTTAAATATCGGATTTTAAAAAACACAGAGCGATAATCGAATGCACATTCCATCCGTAACGCTCACTCGCGCTCAAAAATTGACTAAAATTGCTATTTATGTACCAAGGGCGTTACGGACCTTATAATGCCCTGAGGGCCGAACCGATAGGTTTCGGCCTGATGGGCATTATTATCTCCGTAACGCCTGTGGTGCATACAATGCTTTATGTTTCACCTAATAGCCTTACCATTTAAAAAA